CTCACCTGGCGGCGAACCGGTAGCAGACCTCGGGGAGCCCCCAGTCGGGCTGGACCTTCTTGGGCGACACCACGGTGATGACGGACGCCGGCTTACGGGGATTCAGGCAGATTTCTTTAAAAAAAATAAAAACAGGAGCCTGAAGATTTAGGTTGCATCTTAAAGCCAAAAGGAGACCATAAAACTCCCAGTCTGGCTGTAAACATTTAAAAGCCCTCTCCCCACTTTCCTCTGAACAACTACGTCCGAATGTTTACTGACATTTTCAGGTTATTGTGTCATTTTTCTAAGCTTCTAACCCACGGGAAAACGTCCGTAATTGTTCCTTTGAGGCTCCTTTTGGAACTTTTTCAGCGGTTGTGAGCGTCTGATGAGGAGAAAGCATCTAAGTAGGGTTTGATCTGATTAACCAGGCGGAACGGATTAAGAAATGTTTGGGGGCGAACAGAAGAAGACGGCATTTTTTTGGGCATCATGTTCACATGTGGATTCTTCTTTGAATGATGGAGCTTTAAATTGCATTTTTTTAGACGGTACTTTGTTAATAAGGTGACTTCCAAAGAGCTCCTGAGCCCATGAAGTCACCTCCCATCAGTTTGAATGCAGAGTTGCCTGATTATGATGGAAATTATTCAGTTTTCCTTCGAAAAGCATGATTCAGAAACCATCCCACCATCAAGGTACCACTTGCCATTTCTGTGTTTTTTGTTCCTTCCATCTAAATCTGTCTGAGACGTGTTGCCGTCATCAAACTCAAGATGAGCTAAAAACTCTCATGAAATAGTAAAATGTCTCGTTTTCAGCATCTGATGTTTGTTTGCTGCGTTTTCTTCTGTAGAAAATATTGGTTTCGGAGAGTTTCAAATGTTGCCCTTGTTCTTACAACAGCACACGTTAGCTATAAAAGCTATAAACCCTCCATTCAATTAGGTTTTCTACATAACAGATGAGAAATTTAAAGAAGAGCAAAAAGCAGAGACTCTACATTTCTGGAGGTACAGCTGTGATCTGCGGGGCTTTGGGACGGACCTACGGAGGTAAAGCTCTTCATCCTGTGATGGTCCATCTGTGGGCGTGAGCGGTGCGAGTAGCTCTGCTTCAGCGTGTAATCCTGGAGGAGCAGCACCGTGCCCACGTCCAGCCTCCGGTAGAAGTCGGGACAGAGCTCGTTCCACAGCACCATCGACATGGAGCCGCTCTGGTCCGCAACCTCGTAGTAGGCCTGAAAGCACAGAGATTAAAAACACCACCGTAAAACACCACGGACGTCCGTCCAGATGGAGCTCGTGATGCAGAAGGGACGGGTCACCTGGTAGGGAAAGTCGATCTTGAGCCCAAACTTCCCGTAATACCTCAACCTGGATTTGTGTATTATCCGGACCAGGAGAGGGAGCGGTTTCCAGGAGGTCCTAAAAGAGGACTCCAGACTACTGAGAAGAGCAATCCTGGACACTGAAATGAAAGTAGGATAGATCAAGATGTTTATAGCTCTTTTACAGGTAGAGTTGGTCATTCTTTGTCATAATAAATTAATAACAATCAAATAAATGCATATCTATGAATGAAAAGATTAGTTGTTGTGTACATAATATGTAAACAAAGATCTAGTTAAATGATAAAGACCTCACATATCTAAGATATCTGACAATTGTACAATCTGAAAATATTATGAAGACTGGACATTAGACTTTAGTGAAACACTTAAGGGGTCACGTGCAGGTCTGTTGTGTCTGGCCTCTGCTGCCAGTCACGTGGGGAACATTTTAGGACATAAACCCTCAGAAAGGCTTCCACTCACCGTCCAGCACCGTGTCGGACGGGGGGGGCCCTGAGCTCCAGATGTCCCCCTCGGGGTCGTCGTTGTTCCACAGGGGCAGGTAGTGTTTCCGGCCCAGCTGCAGGGGGGCGTGGCCGTGCGGCCCCACGCCGCGTGCCACCAGCACGGGCAGCGCGTGCACGCAGCTGGCCCGGGGCAGCGCGTGCACGCAGCTGACCCGGGCCAGCACGGCTGACGCCCCCTCGTTGCAGCTGACCCCCTCGATGCAAACGTAACCACGTCCCAGCCTCCTCTCGTTGTACACCAGGGACCACCGCGTGACGGTGACGTCACCGCCGGTCCGCAGCTCGTTCACGTGCACCAGGTGGTTCAGGGTCGCGTGCAGGAGGCACTTGGCCCGGAAGGCTCCGTCCGTCACCGTCACGTCGTAGCTGTAGCTGCCCGGCTGGCCCTCCTCCGGCTGCTCAGACAGGTATCTCTGGACGGAGACGACGGCGACGGGAGCCGCCTCGTTGGCTCCTAATTTCAGGCACTGTGTGGTTGACAACCGCCGAAATATCTTCTGGAGAAAAGACTCTCCGGAAGGACCGGTCTCCATGGAGGAGGACCACGACTGGGCATCCTCCGTCATTTCAAACTGAAACTGCTAGCTACCCAAATATGTATTTATAACTTATAACGCCGGCGATAGTTAAATGCGCAAAAATGTCTACTCATCTTACTATCAGTTCTATACAAGTTGACCGTAAAATAATGAATATTTTTACTTTATTTGGAGGACTCCGCTCGGGCAGTTATGTTGCCGTTACAGCCATGGTTACAGCACCAACAACACGGTGCTGCTTGATGGCGTCACCATTTACGATAAGCACCAATTCGTGTCCCGTAAGAAGGACATTGGCATAATAGACCTATTTCCACCCCAGGGTTGGCGTTTTGGAAAAAATACAAATACCTCACTCGAAAAGCAGCTGGACAGTGCTATCTAGAGACTCCCGGTTCAAAATCCGCGCCCAACTATTCAAGAAACGGTAGAAGTGACGTCATCTACGCGACGAGTGGGTGTGGCTTAATAGGGAAAAAAAGCCAACCAAAAGGCAGATTTTAAAAGAATAAAGCATTAAAGATATATTTTTCAAAAATAGTTTTTCATCCGATAAGTCTGAGAGAAGTTGCACTAAAAATGTGTTATATATGTATATTTATATTTGTTTATTTTTTAGCAACTTTTTCTAATTGCATTTTAACCTGTGTCCGACGTTCCCGAGATGTCCCAATGACATTTTGTAAGATTTAAAGTTTGCACTAACTTAAACCAGCAGGGTGGGATGATTTCTTACAAATGTTAAATATGTAGAACTTCAAGAATTGACATCACCCTCTGTTGTTCAAACTGAGTAAATGCAATAATTACTTTAGGTATTGTAATCGAAGTGTTTAATCCTGGATATTATCTATGACAAAAAATGTCAGAAGAAATGAAATTATCATCACTTTCCCTGGGGTGTTTTTGTTGTTTGGAATTAGTACTTTATAATTATCAAGGATTCATATATCTCACTATCTAGCAGATGTTGCCTCAGCTGGATGAGGTGCTAAGGTTTTGGTTGTACAGGCCTCTCTAAAAAAGTATGTCTGATAGTCTAGCACATGCTATAGTAAGAGCTGAAGTAATGGTTCAAAATGCTGACCTGTACCAAAAAAATATCGACAAGTGAATCAGCCATCTGGGAACACCACAGCTATACTATACACGGTGACTCACATGATTATAAGGTTTACAGACAGAAAGTAAACGCATGGAGAAAAAATGACAATACTGCATACAAGTCTTGAGCCATCCCTCATTCTATGATATTAAACTTCAAAATGTGTCAAAATATGTCTTCTTAGTTCCATCATTTTACTTGATCATTTTCAGCATAATAAAGTTTTATTGTTTGTTATTTAAGTTTTTCCACACTGTATTATGAATTATTCAAATATTTTAAAAAGCACCTTATTCGACCCAAAAATAATAAAAACAAATAGAAAAATAAATAAGTAAAGAAAACGTTTGTATTTCTTGTTTCTAAACTACATTTATGGCCCCTCTAAAGTCTTTCAATTTGTTAGTTTGTAAATATGACTTTTTAGTTGCATCATTTTACTTGATCATTTTCAGCGTAATACAGTTTTACTGTTTGTTATTTAAGTTTGTCCACGTTGTATTATGAATTATTCAAATATTTAAAAAAAGGCTCCTCATTCGACCCAAAGATAAAAAACAAACAGAAAATGAACTAAGTAAAGAAAACGCTTGTATTTCTCGTTTCTAAACTACATTTATGGCCCTTCTCTCCATGGAAACTACAATCCCATCATGCCTTGCGGGCTTGCCAGCGTTTCTTGTTGACGTGGGAAGGGGCAAACAAATGTCTTCGGCTTTGCTGTTGAACCGCTGCAGATGACAGGGACATGTCAGGTGGATTTCACAGGGAGCCTCGCGACGTTTGAAACATGTGGCTCAAACCCGAAGAGATTCTGCTCAAAAACGCGTTCAAGTTGTGGGTCACCGAGCGGGATAATGAGTATTTCGTACTGCAAAGGAGACGGGGCTACGGAGAAGGTGGCGGCGGTTTGACAGGTAAACGTTTTAACGGCCAAACGGCCGTCGCCTCCCGGTTCGCTCCGCACAGCTGTTGCGGTTTTGTTTCCTCTCAAAGCAAATGGAAACAACATAAGTTGTCCATGTGTAACTCCTAATTTACGTCGCTTTGCTAACGTGGTGTCTGACGTGTACAGGGCGGGTGCCGTTGGTTCTCCATAAAAAATAGCCTCTTTGCAACAGGTAGGAGACAAAAGTGTCGACACAATGTGAGTCAGTCCGGGCTCCACAACAGCTGGAACCCGCCTATTAGCGTCTATTATTAGTTTAATGTTTTGTATAAAACATGGTGGATGGCTGGTTTCATTTCCTGCCTTTCCCACGAACTTGTACCTGGAGTTGTCTTACAATGTAAACTAAACAAATTCTAAGATAAACTTTTGTGCTCTTTCACGACCTTTTAAAAAGTTGACCCTCGGTTCATTTTCACGTTTTAGCTGATTAGCTCATTTAGTCCAGCTTGTTAATTTAATATGTGTACCACTTTCTTAGACAAGCCTTTAAAAATGATGGGATTTGGAGCCTCACGCATATTTTCCTGCCTCCTCCCTGGTGTGTGAACGCACCAGCAGCTTTGTGTACACGCTGATGCTCACTGGAGTTGTCAGAATAGAAATCAGGTCACATCACAACCTTGCTGAAAGCACATGTGGCTTTGCTGTAAAAGGGGGGGGGGATTGTTGTTTGTTTGCATTAAAAGATAGCTGCAATTGATTATTCAATCAGATCCTGCAGAAAAGGGGCAGATAATTTACCTGTGAGAGACATAAGAACCCTAAAGCAATTAAATAAAATAAATTACACTTGTTTTGTTGCCACTTGCAAATGTCTTTCCTTTGTCATCTCATTTGAAGATTGCAGTGTAAATACAGATGGATGACAGAATAAAAAGAACCAGAAGTAATCTAATATGGTGTTGAGCCTTAATAGTTAAAGTACCCCTTGACGATTATTTAGAAGGGTTTTAGATATTTTATTTGCTTAATAAATATTTGGTAACCTGTCATGACCCATAGAGGGGTTTATTGTCATCTTTGTAAATTACAGTTCCCCTCAGGATAGAAATGTTTCATCACAGGATCATGGAAATACCTCAGAACAGGTTTATTCTGCCCCCCTTTTTAAATCCTTAAACACAGGTCTTTTGTCCTCAGCCCCATGTGGGATGTTTCTTTACTAACTTGGATGGTTGATGCTGTTATTGTTATACAGTATTTGGTTTGATATATTAATGTAAAGTATGCGTTTTGAGACCATTGAAGCATAGACGGTTACAAAAAGCCTTTTGTGGAGCATTTAAAACGCTCACAGGAAATGGATGTGATTGTGTTTAAGGTGGAAAACAACAATAGAGTGCTGTGTTCTGCTTTAGTGAGAGTTCAGGGTAAATACTCAATAGGTTTAGAGACTAACCTTTTTTTCTTGCTCATGTGTATTATATCCATCAAGTCTATCTTTGCACTTTAAATTAGCTTTACATTTATTAAGTAAATATATGAAATAATGATATTATTTACTGTACTACATTAGTTTAGGTGGGCTGCTTTAATAGCAATGCAGTGCATGACATAGTGGTTTCAGCACACTCTTGTTAATAATTCATTGAGGGCCCGTCACAGAGCCTCTGTATAGGTAGCAGATTTAGCTAATTTTAGTTCTGACATGGATCTGCAGGATCATTCATTTCCTCTTTCAGAATGAAACTAAACACAAAGTCTGTAGTCCAAATGTTAGACAAATAGCCAAAAGATGAGATTAAAGCATGAAGCATCAACATGAACTCCGGTTGCTCAAGTCAGCTTAAGGGTCGTTTAGATGGTCATAAAGTCCAATGTGTATTAAAATGTGACCACGTTTTCTGGTAAAAATGTTTTTCAGATGTGGGACATGGCTGTTGGTTTTTAAGAAGTGTCATTTTTCTGTATGTTACAGGTCTCCTTGTGGGAACTTTGGACACCGTGTTGGACTCCACTTCCAAAGTGGCTCCGTACCGCATCCTGCACCACACACCGGACTCACAGGTTTACTGGTCAATAGCATGTGGTATGCATCAAAATTATTTCCCAACTCTGGCATTTCTGCCATGTTATACACAGATTATTTACCAAAACAGTCATTTGAGTGGATTGAAATGTACTAAGGCACCCTCTGAAACTGCAATAGAACTTTCACTGTTCACTCTTTTGTGTCAGGAGCTTTTCATTTGTTGTTTATTTTGTTGGTCAGGGGTCACGAAGGAGGAGATCGGCCAGCACTGGGACTGGCTGCAGCAGAACATCATGAGGACGCTCTCTGTTTTTGACTCCAGTGAAGACATCACCAGCTTTGTGCAGGGCAAAATCAGAGTGAGAAATTACTCCACAAATGTCATATTAACAACGTTTAACTCTCCTAGCTTGGCTGCAAATCTAACCAAAACAAGTGTATAATTCTAGCTTTGTGATTAGTTTAAAAAGCCAGAATAAGCTCATCCTGCATTTTTCATACGTGGTTCTTGTTTTAGGGCCTTATTGCTGAGGAGGGGAAGTCGTCTCTGGTGCTGGAGGACGATCCTGAGAAGTTTCGAGAGGCACTGTTGAGGTTTGAGAAGTGGTTTGAGCTGCCTGCAGAGGAGAAGCTGGTCACCTATTACTCATGCAGCTACTGGAGAGGCAAAGTGCCCTGCCAAGGCTGGCTGTACCTCAGCACAAACTTCCTCTGCTTCTATTCATACCTCCTTGGGTCTGAAGGTAAATCACGTCTCCGTCATTGATGGCGTGCATCTCATCTTGATCTGTATTGTGCTTTAGACAAAGGGTTTTGTAACATCTATAAAAGTCACCACCAAAAGCGTTCACTGCTTTTCTTTCAATAGAAAATGGCTCTTGGTAATGGTCGCTTTCAAAACTGAGAGAAAGCCATTATAACTGACCTCCCACTGAGGCTTGAAAAGGCCTGTGGATAACAGGTATAATTTCAGGCCACAGAGTGACGTATCGAGACATTTCATAATGAAAATGTGCGAATTTTCTTCTCGCTTGTCGTTGGGATTTCTTTAAATAGCTTCCAGCCACAGGTTTTTATTTTTTAATCATTGCTCTGCAGTGAAACTGGTCATCTCCTGGGATGAGATCTGGAAGCTGGAGAAAACCACTAACGTGATCCTAACGGAGAGCATCCACGTTTTGGCCCATGGGGAGGACCACTACTTCTCCATGCTGCTGCACATCAACGAGACCTTTGTCATCATGGAGCAACTGGCCGACTACTCCATCAAGCGTCTTTTTGATAAAGAGGCATTCGAAGGGGAGGTGGCCCTGTCGGACCCCCTGCAGATTACCAAGAGGTACAGCGTCTGCCACACTTCCCAGCTTTACGTGATCTCGTTAGAGCCGGCTGACAACTTAAAGAAGCGGAATAAACAGAGTCTAAATGCATTTGTTTGTTTGGGTTTGCACTGACAGGCTCTCAGAAAATGTCAGTACCAGTGGAATATATTTTAAAGGAACCTTTTTGTTGCCAGTGTGATTATGTACTATTTTCTGGCGTAATAGTTTACAGGAAATGGAGCAGTTTGTTCTGTAATTCAAATGCTTGAAACAAAGTGCTCTCCGTCTTTCCTGAGGGGATGCAAAACATTTCCTTCCCTTCAGGTGGACTTTTTTAATGTGCAGCCAAGCAGAGAGTTTACTCCGAGACAAGTATTGATCTCTATAAATCTCCCTGTAATCCATTTTCCAGATGATGTGAATCACTTCTTTTGACGTTACGCCGCTTTGCCTGACTGAGCTTAACTATTAAATAAGAATAAACGAAGATGAATTGTGAATACTTTGTAAATCTGGTGCAGGGCCGACTTCCAAACAGCTCTGACTGCTCATAGGTGTGTTAGGATAGTTAAAAACCGTTCCTGTTGTTCCAGCGAACACTGATTCGATTGCTCCCTTCACAAATTGTTAATAAGAAGGTGACCATCACCCAGAATACACTGTTAGAGTGTGGCCCTTCTGTGTTGTCATTGACAACTTCTTGTGATTACAAAAGAGCGATCCCACTGTTTGATTCTCTTTCTCCACAGAGGCCTGGAAGCTCATGCAAAGAGTGAGCAGTTCCGGACGTTTTTCAGGCTCCCCAAAGAGGAAAACTTGTTGGAGGTCCACGAGTGCTTTTTGTGGGTGCCCTTCAGCCATTTTAACACACTGGGCAAGATCTGCCTTTCCGAGAACTACCTGTGCTTCGCCAGTCAGGACGGGAGCCAGTGCCATGTCATCATTCCAATGCGAGAGGTGGGACCACATGAGTGAACCTTACAGAGCCTCAAATAGCACCTGGCTGTCACAGGAAGACTCACACAGTGACCATCTGGTCTGCCATTACTGCCTTTTTCCAGGTTGTGAACGTGGAGAAGCCAGACTCCAGCAGCAGGGCTCTGACGGTGTGTGTCCGGGGCAAAAGAGCGCTGCGTTTCTCTGAGGTGAGGGACTTCCAGCGCCTGGCCAACAGCATCCGCAGCAGGTGTGGGATCAGCGCCAGCCCTCAGCACTCCGCCTCAACAGAGGTAACATCCATAGACGTTTTACGTTTGGACTCATCTTTGCGTTACGCAGGAAGTTTGTAAATGGTTTGTTTTTGACGCGAAGGCCATACGAGGCGAATGCCAGTCGCTCATAAATCATTTTGAGGACAACCCAGAGGACGTGACGCTCATGGTGGGACAGAAAGACAACAGCAAGGCTGTCAGCACCGAGGCTCTCATGACTGTCTTCCATCCCCAGGACGTCGAAAACCTCGATCCCAAAATGGTGAGTCCAAATATTTCATATTTGATACATACGGTTGCTGAAATGTTTTGTGTCTGACTCCTTTTTGCATAATTTAATGGTAAAAACTTTGCTCAAAATCCTATTGTACACAATCAGATACACCTCATAACAGGGGGTAGAAGACTACACAAAAAAAAATCTTGACCTATCGCATAGTAATAAATGATTAATACTGAAAATTTATTTTTCTTTTTTCTTTTTACGTATTTTGTTAAAAGGCCAAATAAAGACTTAAAACCAAAAATAAGTAATTTTCTGTTTAGTTTTATTCTTGGATCAGGCTTTAAAAGGTTAAACTGACCCACAATCCTAAAACAACCATATTCACTAACAAATCGGAATACTTTCCCCCGAGGACCAGAATTCAGGGCATCTATATGAATTAATGTTAATGTTTCAATTGAATTCCTAAATTGAAACATCTGGTTTGGTGATGATGTGTCCTGTGTGTGTTTGATAGCTTAAAGAGAAAATGAAGGAGCAGTCCTGGAACATCCATTTCTCCGAATATGGACGAGGGACGAGCATGTTCTTCACCAGGAAAACCCGAGACCTGATTGTCCGCGGGGTTCCCGAGGCCCTGAGGGGAGAGCTGTGGATGCTGTTTTCAGGTACTTAAAGGTTAAAGGCCAGCAGGAGCAGCACAGAGTGTCAGGATCCCTTTGCTCAGCACTCAGCGTGTCCAGTGTCTCTGTGTCTCTGACTGTGAGCTCGACTCCGCAGGAGCTGTAAACGACATGGCCACTCACCCCGGTTATTACACCGAACTGGTCGAGCAGTCTCTGGGCACCAGCACTCTGGCCACGGATGAGATCGAGAGAGACCTGCACCGCTCTCTGCCCGAGCACCCGGCCTTTCAGAGCGACACGGGGATCTCCGCCCTACGCAGAGTCCTCACCGCCTACGCCTGCAGGAACCCCAAAATCGGATACTGCCAGGTATTGGCTCGGATTTGTTTAGGCGTGTTTTTATGTGGCAAAAAAGTACACTGACACTGATAAGAAACACTCAGATGATGTTTTAATCAACTGTTAAAATAAAGCCAGTATTTATATGTAGCCAGGAGTCTGACGCTGGAAAACATAGGATCACAGTATCAGGAAGATTGGTTTTTGTGATAATTGACTATTCATTAGTTACCAAATCATTTCTTTATATTTTTATCAAGAAGCCAAACTTTCCTCTCTCTTAAGGTGGTCTATAGTAATCATTCTACAGGTTTTGTGGTAACTGTTTTTATGGACTTTGGCTTCTTTTTATAAGTGCACTGAACTGAAGCACAGAAAAGGAACCTAACTCAAGGGATGACCCACTGTGGTATGTGTATATATATATATATATATATATATATATATATATATATCAAAAAACACATATCTTAACAAAGAAAAAAGTTTGAACTAGATCTTTAGTTACTCTGATCATGGTCACAACAACTCATTATTAGATCCCTTTTTATCAGTTGCAGCTAAAAAAAAACTTAAAATAACAGGCCTGAATATATTCATGTAAATGTAAGTCGAGATAACAAAGGCGCAGGTCCAAAAATGTTTGTTTTTTATTCTGCTGGGATTGAGTCAAAAGGAGAACAAAAGAGACTATGTATAAGTGCCTTTTTAAAAAGATGGCGTTGGATTTGAATGGACCTCCTAAATGTGGTGTGGCTCTTTCTTCCGTTTAGGCCATGAACATCCTCACATCGGTCCTCCTGCTGTATGCCAAAGAGGAGGAGGCCTTCTGGCTGCTGGTGGCTGTCTGTGAGAGGATGCTGCCGGATTACTTCAACCGTCGAATCATTGGTGAGTCTGGCTGCCTCCGTCTCTAACCGAGTTCCTGCGGGTTGAACTCTCAACATTTTTTTTTCTCTCTCTCTCTCCAGGCGCCCTGGTTGACCAGGCCGTGTTCGAGGACCTGATCAGGGAGAACCTCCCCCAGCTGGTGGAGCACATGACGGACCTGAGCTTCTTCTCGTCCGTGTCCCTGTCCTGGTTCCTCACGCTGTTCATCAGCGTCCTGCCCATCGAGAGCGCCGTGAACGTGGTGGACTGTTTTTTCTACGACGGCATCAAGGCCATCCTGCAGCTCGGCCTGGCCGTGCTGGACTACAACATGGAGGCTCTCATCAGCTGCCATGACGACGCCGAGGCCGTCACCATCCTCAACAGGTCGGTTGGCCGGCTGGAGTTCAGACGGACCGTAAACACAACTGCTCTGTCAACGGCCGTCTCTCTCTTTCTGTCGTTTTGTGTCAGATTCTTCGACAGTGTGACGAATAAAGACAGCCCACTGCCTCCCACCGTGCAGCAAGCCACAGTGGGCAGTAACGACAAAACATCCCACATCAGTGTAGATATCAGCGAACTGATCCGAGAGGCCTACGAGGTATTTTAAGATATACTTATTTTTTTCTTGTTTTTTTTTTTTGCAAACGATTTTGTCCTTTTTGGTTGACAAAAGCAAAATGTTTTCTTTCTAGAAATATGGCCATCTCCGTTCAGAGGAAGTTGAGAGTTCACGGAAGAGAAACAAACTGTATGTGATCCAGACGCTGGAGGATACAACCAAGCAAAATGTTGTGAGTTCACAATAGTTTATATTACTATGTTGTTATATTGCTATTATGTAAGAATAAATTGATTATCGTTTTTCAGATCCGGGTGGTCACTCAAGACGTCCGGTTTAGTGTCTCACAACTTGATGAGCTTTATGATTTGTTCAAAGTGAGTCTAAAACCTAAAAAAAACAGAAGAGAAAAAATAGAGAAAAACAACTAACAAACCTCCCTTGCCCCCGTTCCTCCCTCCTTGCTTTCAGAGGCAGCATTTCCTCAGCTGCTACTGGACGATGAAAAGTCCAGCCCTGCTGCACCACGACCCGAGTCTGGCCTATCTGGAGCAGTACCAGCTGGGCTTCCAGCAGTTCAGCGTGCTCTTCTCCCTGCTGGAGCCCTGGGCCTTCTGCGCCTCCAAGAGCACCCTCTCACTCTGGGTTTTCCGCCTAATAGACGAGAATCAGGATGGTCTGGTCAACTTTAAAGAATTCTGCTCTGCCCTGGGCAAGTTTTTATTTTTTGGGGGGATATCTGCTCCCTGTTAATGCACTGTTCACCTCTGTATCCAGGAGGTTTTAAATGCATATCGTGTCTCCCACAGATACCTTATACAGCGGATCTTTCACAAATAAGCTGAAACTTCTCTTCAAGCTGCACCTGCCACCAGGTGAGTAATAACCAGCAGCTCCCGGAGCCCCGCTAAGATCGTTTTAACTCCAAATCCGCTCGGCTGTCTGCAGCCTTCCACCTTCCACAACATCTGCTAATTCAGGGTTAACGTTCAGCTACAAGCAAAAGGTTTAACCTTTGTTTTCAGAGTCCCTATTTTACAGAGTTAATGCCACAGCAGCATATATACAGATGCTCAACACGAGGTCAGAGTGCGGTAAATCAGCCCGTGGTGCTCAGAGCTTCAAAACATACGAGCTGTCGTTTTGATAATCCACTCCGTAGCTCAGGATTTGTTGGGCGAGCACATCGCCCGGGGTAAGAGGCTGTCCTTGAATGCGAGGTTTTCTCATCTCCATGATGTGTCACATCCTGCACGGAGGCCGGGGGTAAGAATAGTCCACGTCGGGTGAAAGAGCTCGCCATGGCAACGGCAGCTGCGAGCAGCGTGTGAGGGCATTTCAGCTCGCGGACCGGCTTCTCCAAAAAAAGAGGAGGGGCTGCTCAAATTACAACCGACAGCTCAGGAGCAGACAAGCCCTGAGTCACCGTTTGGGCCGCGCCAGGCCGATAAACATCCAGCAGCAGAGCTTATTTTCTGTCTGTCGGACTCATCGTTTCAGCACCAAGGACAGGTCACATCCTGGTACCACAATCCAGGCTACAAGCTTACAATATTCACTCCAGGAAATAAAAATCACAGTTATTTAGTTTTTTTCCCTCTTTTAAATAAGATGTGCTAGAACTGCCTGTAGCACTGATCAAGGAAATTGAGTTATGTGCTCTTTAAAGCTGAGAGGGAGCAGGTTTTTCTGTCTAAACGAGCAGCTGCTACTCAATAACACTAACAGGGGTTGTGGTTCTGCTTTAATTTACTAAAACATCTGCTGTAGTTTGCATAGATGCTGAAGTTTAGATCTATTTCCAGCTGATAGGGAGTTGTCACATGCAGAAAAAGTCGTAGCCGGAGAACGATTCTGCCGGATGTAAAGCGACATATCTAAATGCTTAATCCATGCATGAAACTGCACGGTTGCTTGCACCCACATGTGGTCAGAAGTGGGGGTTGGTGTATAGTGGTGCATGTGGGTGTAGATCTCTATAAGTGTAAAGGGACTTGAATGTACATCACAGATGTAATTGCCAAGTTGATGGATTTTGCCAAGCCATGCAGCAGTTATTAAATCAGGATTTTATTAGAGCAGAGTGAGGCTCTGGAAGTGCATGGACATGAACTGATATGTAACTTTAATGAGCTTCTTTTCAGTAGAGAAAAAGAAGACCTCCATCTAATGAAGTCCAGTTGGACTGAACGTGTAGTTGAGCTTGTTCGTGCAGGAGTGATATGGCTGCTAACCTCCTTATCTAATCCAGCTTTGAAAAGCTTAGTTCACCTTAATCCAGTTTTCTTTTGTGTGATGTAAACACGCTGATAACGGAGGCATGGCTATCAAAGAACAATATAAACATTTTAAGATTTTTCTTAATACAGATAGCACATTGTCTTACTAATACCAGCTACAGCCAAAAGACACAGACTGGTTCATTAAAAAGATCAAGCTTAAAGCGCATTTTCACTTTTAACTGTGCACATAAGACAGAAATTAAGAGTTCGTATCAGTTACTTAGATCTGAGGACAGAAAAACTGTGATTATTGTCAACTTGACAGAATAATGGTGGAGTTCAACAGGATTATATTTGATTGAATCAGACTACTAAACTCAAACCTCGCTATGCTGATCAGTAGCATCTCTGTTCTCCTTCTTCCTGCTCATGTTGATCTTCTGTCATTTCAGTCTTTTCTTCTTTCATGGCTCTCACTCTCAGTCTCTTTTAGCTTTCACAGGTAGTCCTTTGCACTTAAAGGATCAAAGAATCCAGAATTTTATTCCAGTGACCGAAGACTCTTCTCACTTGAGTAGACTCACCGGTTAGCCTCTTTTTTCCTTTTCCTCCTTTAAAGCTACATTTCCCCCCCTTATTTCTGCCCAAATTGTGTCATAATTCTGCCCTGAGTATTTGTTTAGTACAGTTTATTCACATGTCACCTTTTTTCTTTTCAGCATTTGATTTACCAGAAGATGGTGTGATAAGGAAAAGCCCAGAGAGAGGTAGAGTTTCACCAGAATACATCACACCCCCCATAACTTGGACACATTCACTGCGAATACAGTTGTTTCTTATTGTGATATTGAAAATGTAACCCATGAAACTCACAGGCAAGGGAAAAGTGGACCTGCAAGCCTATCTGAAACAATGGCAAAACGAAATTCTCAAGAAAGAGGAAACAATCAAGGACCTGCCCAGAATTAATCAGGTAATTGAATCAGAATTCATCTCATCATTTGTCTCCCTCCATTACAGCCTCGTAAAATACGTCTCCTTATTCTATCTCAGAGTCAGTTCATCCAGTTCTCCAAAACGCTCTACAACATTTTCCACGGCGATCCGGAGGAGGAGTTGCTGTACCGGGCCGTTGCCCACGTGACCAGCCTCCTGCTGAGGATGGAGGAGGTGGGAAGGAGGCTGCAGGAGCCCAGCAGCCCCCCGGAGAGCAAAGGGCCCTCCAGCCCCTCCACTGCAGGGGAGTCTTCGGCCGAGGAGGCCTCCGTCTCCCACGGCAACCCGGACCTGCCGGAGGCCGATTGGTCCTTCTCCTTCGAGCAGGTTCTGGCGTCTCTGCTCAACGAGCCGGCCGTGGTCGGATTCTTCGACCGACCCGTCGACCTGCAGGCAAAACTAGGCCAGGCCAGGGGCGCCCAGCTGAAGCTGAAGGCCAATAAGTGAAGGGAGACGCAAGGGAATAAATAGTTTATTCTGACCCCTGCAGAACGTCACCATGAATTTTCTTTATCCGCTTTGAGCAAGCCGACGGACCCCTGCGAGACAGAGAAAAAGATCTTTGATATAAGTGAAAGGCATTAATCACAAACCTGGGGCACAACAATACGAGCGAGTCACGCGATTGATCAGTTACTGTGGCAACACATCGTCCTAAAGACACTCAGAACCCTCTTCTGAAACAGTCCAACACTTTTACTGTGTTTTTAATGTTCAGTCATGTTGTCAGAAATAGTCATTCCTCAGATCGAATTATGCATCATCATCCTCTATGATGAACTCCATTCTCACCTGTAATCAGTTTCTCTAATCGAGTTATCAGCAGAATACGTGTGTATGGTTTAATGGGGCACTCTAATTACTCTCTGTTTATAGAAATGTAACGGAAGTCTTTTAAAAAGTCCATAATAGATAACGTAGACAACATGACCGAGAGCCCGGAAGAGGATTTTCCATCTGAATGTCTCGATGTATATTGTCACTCAGATTAGTAGCTAATGCTTTAAAGTGTCTGTGTATGCTAGTTCAATACGTCCTGTGACTTGAGTGTCTTATGGTGTGAGGTCCTCTTGGAAAAAAAAAGCATCCACCTATTGTAAGAAACACCAGCTTTGTTAACACTAAGACATAACGGCAGTGCATTTGGATAAAGATGAGCTGAGGTTTTGTCCCCAGAAGCCATAAAACTGATGAGCTGATCCGACTGAAGATGTCAGAAATGTTTTACCGAGAGCGAAACGGAGGATACGCATTCGCAATAACGCACAAGAGAGAGAGGCTGCTGCGTTGCCACGGCGCCCACCTGTCTTTTTACCACATCACGGCCTGTTTCTGTTGTGTGTGTGTGAGACCTGGTATCTCCACACTGTGGCATCCTGTGTTTGAATCCTCGTACAGCCGGATGATTTATCGTTTGCAATTGTCAATCTTTCTGCTATGCGCTGTAGGATGTAAAGCTTTAGTGCGTGCAGCATTTTGTATAGAAAGATCGATTGATTAGGCATTTTGATTATTATTATATGTGTCAGAATATGTGACACGAGGACTGTTGATTTGAAAGTTTCGAAGTACGTTTAGTGTCAATAAATCTCAGGGGGATGTTTGCAAAATGAGAGGAAGGTTTTAAACCTGGGATATAGATAGATAGATTATATATGATATTATGTAATTACATATATACAGTATATATATATATATATAAATTGAGCACGTGTAGCATATTTACAACTTTCTTTCTGCCTTTAGCAAACTGCTATGTATCGATGCCAGAGAAAGACATTTCACAGTGTTTTAGTTTTTTCTTTTCTGCTTCTTGTGTTTCGTCTTGCCTCTTTCTCAGTGAGAAATTTGCACAATTGTTTGAGATTCACAAGCTGAAGACGTGCCTGAATCTCTGCCAGATCTGAAAGGCGTGGGACTCCTAAAAGGTTGTGACCACTTCAGCTGCAGCTCTCATCTCCAGGGGTGAAAAAAAAGGGAATTTATAACGCTTTAGGGTCTCTACTTCTGCCGGAGAGTCGTTTTAGGTGCTTCTTAAGTGCAGCTTCAATCCTCTGTTTATTGTTTTTTATTCTTTTATATTTTCGCCATTCTTTTTCACTTGGGACCGACCAGAAGAATATTTCATTGTGTGATCATTGTAGGATTTTGAAATATAGTGCTAAGTAAGTTGTTAAAAAAAAAAAGAAAAGGCACATGAGGAGGTTCTGATCCTTTTTACGACTCAAACTAACATTTAAAAAACTATTAAATCGGAGAATTGTTTGTTTTCCAAAAGATTTTCTGCAGTTTCCACTGTATTTGTAACATTTCCAAAAAAAAAGATTATTCGAAAAATGCAAATGTCAGCCTCTTAGCAGAGAGGATCTGCGTGGGTTATGAGTTATTGCATGCTTTGTCAGTCTCTGATTTTGAGAGTATGTTTAAGCTTTAGAAGCCTGCTTTCCAGGATTAATGTTTTGCTCTTTTTGAGGTTGGGATCAGACAATTATTGATGCTAAATGTTTCATATTTGACCCTCGTTTTTACAGTCCCATAAAGAAGGAGGTGAGAAAATATCTTAAAGCTCACAAATGCTGAAAATGTACGTTTTGATAGAACACTTGTTTTACAAGATGTTTTGCAAGTTGTTTCTGTTTGCTTGCTACATTTATAATTTGTTTTCTTTCTATATGAATGCACCAGAATAAAGCGTAATTATTCAATGAGTGGCATTGAGTCTCTTTCTTTTTTTAAAGATAATTCAACCCATGGCAAAAATGATGGAATCACCACTTTTACATTACATTGATTCATTATATTCTGTCAAAAGATATATGTGAATATATATTTATTCTCAATGAACTAGGGATTAAATTGAGTAACCCTGTAAAAACAAAGCCTGTACATTTAAAAAAAAATTTAGTATAGGTCCAATGAACGATTTAATGGTTGCTGCCTAAAAACCCCAAAAAAAACAGGAGAATTTTGACAATTATGAGTTTTTTATATATATATATATATATATATATATATATATATATATATTACTTGGTATCTGTGAATTTTAGATAAATTTAGATAAATGAAATGTTCTCCAGATATTTAAAAAGAGTTAAACAGAAGCTCATTTCAGTCTACTGGGTCTAAATAACCCAGTAGATAATAACCTCTGCACAGTGTTCTCAGCGGTGTCCGTTACAGCTTCATACGTCACCTCAAGGTCTTGAAATGTATAATTACTTCTTTTCAACAGTCAACTTCCCCACCCTCAAACGATAAATTACTACAGTTCCGGGCATGTTTCACGTGTCAAACACAGACCCAGCCCTTACTGTAAGTATAACTGTTTTAATGGACAATGCTCACATTACCTTATTTTTGGCCTTCGAAAGCCTTTGAAAACTTTATAGCACCAAGAGATAAAACATGAGACGGGAAAAACATTCGTCAGTGTTTTTAAATGCTTTGTTCATCCACATGGAGCTCATGGATACTGCAAATATATGTATTTGTTTATATCTTATTACACCAAGGCAAATTCCTTGTAAGTCTAAAAACCTACTTGGCAATAAACCTTATTCTGATTCTGATTCTGATTCTGATATGTTATTACATTTAATTGTGACTAAGTTTAAATGCCTTTAGCAGAGAGAGGCATAAATCACTTTTCCCCAGTTGTGGGTCACATTTTGGAATCACACGTACAAAGCGATTTATTTATTTCACACTTGACTATTCAGAAGTGTGGACTTGTCTGGTTGATTTACGAGGGGCAGTGGGACTAACGGTGTCTGCATCTCGCTACTATTCTGGCTCAGAGATTTGGTTGCATGCGCTTGTAACCCAAAGTTCATAACCTTAACCCCTGTCACCTGTTCATTTCATAGCTTTGCACTCTCAAGAGATACCGGACGGCCTGAGAAATGCGAGAGCTGTTCTCTCGGTTTATATATTAATGAAAGTCAAAGGGAAACACACAGCATGCCTCTTAAATTCTCAGACGACTGACCTTATGGGATTCTTTTATGCGACAGCATCGGCCACAAAAACGCAGGAAGTAAAAATACTGCAGGAAGTATCAACACTTACAAATGAAAAACTAACTGGCAGAGGAGGGGTGAACCACAAAGCTTTATCATGACAGGATTTACAGTTGAATGATACAGATCAGACACAGCTCCAACCTCAGATCGGTTTTGTTTCCCAACTCCTACCGCTGCTGTTTGGCTTATTTGCCGAAAGGATTTAGACGTTGACTCTCCCTCTGAGAGTCAAACTTAATTATTGACATTATCACCACCACTTATTTAGACCTATATATATACATATAGTTATTTATGTATATATTTATCTATATTCTCTCTCTATATATATATATGTATATATGTATATGTATATATATGTATATATGTATAGACATGTATATATGTATATGCCGTTGTTTTATTTATGGAGCTAGTCACAAAAATAATTTCCCTCTGGGATTATTAATCTATTTTTCATTCTGATTCTGATCTTTTCACCTTTCTGGACACAGATAAATGGTGTCCACAAACGACCTGATTGGTGGTAGAACCCAAAATTATTTTTTTCTGTTCAGGGTCTTTTCTTGAGTTTCCAAGACTCTGTACTGTCTTTAGGACCCCCCCCCACCCCCCCCACTTCCTCCTCTAGTCCTCCCAGCTTTCCAGCTGCCTGAGACACTCATTGATCACTGGGGGGGGGGGGCATCTATTCCTGGATGTTTCATCCTGGACTGGATCTGGATCTGGATCTGGATCTGGATCTGGATCTAACACTTGTCTGCCCCCAGCTTTTCCTCCCTCTGCTTCTCGTACATGTGGTGGAATCCCTCATGCGTTTTATCGTGCTTAATCGTCTTTAAACCTCCGGGCTCTGTCTCCTTTATGGGCTCGGCTGTTATTCCAACAGGGTGTCTGACGGCTCAGGCTTCGTTCTTCCCCGTTAGCGGACTCTTTGGGGCGGGCCTTTCCCTTTTGCAGATTGCTGGTTGTCTCTGACTTCCTCTCTATTTGTGGCTGAGCAGCTCACTCTTCTCAGTAATGATCACTTTGGCTCTCTTATTCTCCAACCGGTCACATTTATGTGGTCTGAATGAAAACCTGATGTCCTTGCTATAAAGGTCTTAGATAAGAAACCAATCAGGTCCCATCACTGTGTCAGTCTGAACAATCTATATTTTTAAAGATTGTATTTTTCAGTTTTATCATTTCTGTCCTATATTTTTATTTCTACATTTTATTTCTTGCTTCTCATAGAAGTGTTGTGTTGTGCACCAAACACCAAGGCAAATTCTTTGTAAGTCTAAAAACCTACTTGGCAATAAACCTTATTATGATTCTGATTCTGATTCTGATTTAAAAATGCTAAATTTTGAGAACTTTGTCAAATTTGCTCGGTTAAAACTGGTTTACAAATGTTTGCATGATGAGGCCCCTGAGGTTTTGAGTGACTGTTTAGTTCCTCTCAGATGCAAAACTTCCTTCGGACAATCAGCTTTCACTGTACAAGGCACCAAAACATGGAATACATTACCTGCAGAACTGAAAGGAGAGTCAAAGTGGGTCCTTTTTAAACATAAACTTAAAGACTTTTTATTGAGAGGTCAGACATGTGAACAGAACATCAATAATCTAACTGACCAGATCTTGTATCTGTGATGTTTTAGTGTGTAATTTGTTCTGTTGTATCTTGTAAAAGCCTAACTGGGGACAGACTTTGAGAATCAGCCTTAGCTAAAATGTTGCAGTGTGTGACATGATTTAAGAAACATACTTCTCCCTATCAAATAAACGAATACATAAAAATAAATAAAAATGTATGTGGTCTGAATGAAAACCTGATGTCCTTGCTGTGTATCATAGGGTTTGTGATGTAGCTCGATGTCACATATAAAGATCAGGTCCACTTTGAACTGGTATCTGTGGCCTGTGTTTGATACGATGTGTTTGAAGAGGGTTGGGATAGTGCAGAACACACAGAGGTGGCAGAGCATCTCGTTGGTAATAAATTGCATTTTCTGCAGTTAACCCAGGTGTGCACTGCCCCTGAACTGAGTGTAGTCCAGGTTTTTATGACTTCACCTGTTTCTGCCACGGTTAGAAACATCGTCATAATGTCTGTCTTTTGGCAGGTTTGGCTCACTAAACCAAGAATGTGCAGCCGACTAATTAAACAACAACTTGGAGCGGACTGAGCCTTTTAAAACTTTAGGTAATTAGAGGAAGAATAATAAAAGGTGCAGCTGCCACGCTCACCGCTGGAGAAAAAGCAAAAAAGGGAGTTTACTTGATGAAAATACATCAAAGTAAGTTAGCAGCCAAATTAAGTTCATTAACATGTGCATAATACAGACCTATTAAGGCAGTTAATTACAGAATAGAAAGTAGCCAAATTCACTTTAACGTCTGATTTTACTTGTAAATCTGTTTAAAAAATGATTGTAAACACATTCTTATGTGTACCTTTTTCCAAACTGTTAAAAGATTTCCAACTGCACTGGTAATAATATGCAGCTTCCAGTTATTTTCTGAACTTTCAGAGCAAATGAGTGCAGTTGTGATCCCAGAAACGTCTTCTGAAAGGCTTCTGTGGATATCAGCTCGCTGTGATTTGGCTCTGAAACTGAGACATTTGAAGAGCTGAAGGATGAATAATGCATTTGTATGCCGGCAGGTTTTATCTGCATCACACAAACGTCGTCCAGCCTCCAGCAATGGATAAGCGGCAAAAAACTGTGTGGGTATATTTGAAAACCTCCACAGCTCATCTGTAATATTCATATATAAAAGTTAATATAAGAAAGGGAGAATTAAATAATGTTTTTTCTGTCCCTAAAGGATCACAGTGTGGTATTGAACATGAATCCTGTGGTTTCACTGAGTTTGATTAAAGTACAGATTCACTAATAATTTAAATGGGACCCCGTGTGTGTCAGCTGACAGTATTTACTGAATAATACCGACTTTTAAATCTAATATTACATTAAAAAAAGGAGCAAACAGCAGAATGAAGGTAAACCAGAGGATAGATCACTTTTTCGGTTTGTTGTTTAAGTAAAAGATGCGATCTTGTGCATTCCTCTTTTCACAGTTTGCATTTAAGTTAAAGAACAAAAAAGGAAAGAAAACTCGAATCATTTATCTGCGTTGAACATCACATCACAAATGTGGGAGACCATCACTCTCAAACCTACTGATGCTCTGATTCTGATTCAGTCGGATCATCGGGGAATTCTAACGTCTCTGTTTACATAGATGCTCTTCATATGCAGCTGTCATGTGGCATATGGCACCCACAGGGACTACCAACATATTACAATCTCTATAGTATATATATATATATATAGAGATATATCCTTTCTCACACTTTGCATTCACTTCCGTCTAACTACCTGAAATAATCACAAACGCTTCTCCATTATCACATCATGTGTGCAAACAAACTGCTATTTTTTCTTTCTTATCCTTTTGTTGTAGGATCCACTGGTTAAGACAATAACTAAACCCTGTGTGACTGGATTTAGTCCGTATATATCTGAATATTGAGCTGTAAGTGCTGCAGTGATTTCCATGACAACAGATATGTGCTGCGGACTCTGGATTTAGGACTGATTGGTATTCAAATCTGTTTGGCGTGAGCTTTACAGTTTTGTCTCTGATATGGCGTCTCCTCCCTCCCGGGGTTTGAATCCCGGACTCATATCTTCAGGTCGTCCTGCCTGCTCTTGTTGTTGCTGTGCTTGCTCGACTGGCTGTTTCTGCGCTGGTTTTCCGCCGAGGGCTCGCTTTTCGTGGTCTTCTCCGACTCGTCTCCCTCGGCCCGGACCTTCCTCTCGGTGGCCATGTTGTCTCTGTTCTGCTTGTAGACCGCCTTGCTGTTGTAGGGGCTGTAGGCCGAGTTGGGCTCCGCCATGTTGTACTTCCCGTCCACGGGAAAAGCCTCGGGCACCGAGGGGTGCCCGTTAAAGTAGCTGTAGTTCGGCACGAAGGGGATAACCGCCTCGTTGAGGGCTTTCGGAGGCTCCCCGGCGGCTTGCGATCGCCTGTAACGAAGGCCCTGGTGGCATTTCTTGAAGCCCAGGTGGTACATCTCCACCAGGTTGAGCAGCAGAGACACGCAGGCCACCGCCAGCATGAAAAGGATGAAGACCGTCTTCTCCGTGGGCCGGGAGATGTAGCAGTTCACCATGTTGGGACAGGGCCAGCGGTCACAGGTGTACATCGGCTTGAGCTCGAACCCGTACAGGAAGTACTGAGCGACTATGAACGCCACCTCAAACAGGGTCTTAAAGATAATGTTGAAGACGTAGGTTCGCAGCAGGGCTCCGTGAAGCCGCACATGGCCCTGGCTGTCTTTGACCGGGCTCTTCTTGGTTTTATTTGTGGTCGACGATTTCTGGTTTTCGTTCTGGATCTCCAGATCTTTGAGCTTCTGCTTCTCTTTCTCCTCCATGCGGACCAGGTGCAGGATGTGTCCCAGGTAGATGAGCGTGGGCGTGGAGACGAAGATGATCTGCATGACCCAGAAGCGGATGTGGGAGATGGGGAAGGTCTTGTCGTAGCACACGTTCTGGCAGCCGGGCTGCTTGGTGTCGCAGGTGAAGCCCGACTGCTCGTCGCCCCAAACCTTCTCGGCGGCCGTTCCCAGCACCAGGATGCGGAAGATGAAGAGCACCGTGAGCCAGACCTTGCCCACCACGGTGGAGTGCTCCTGGGCACTTTCCAGCAGCTTCCCCAGAGAGTTCCAGTCTCCCATCCTGGCTCACAGCTGGGCCCTCGGTTCTACTGGAAAAATCCGAAGAGACCTGCATAAAGAAAGGAAGCTGTGATTCAACCCAAATTAAATGAAAAACACCACAGAGCAACAGTCTTTGGAGCAAAAAAATAGAGTAACAAGAATTGCTCTTTGAAGGAGTTTCTCCAGATTAAAAGCCTCGTAGAACAAAAATGTCCGGCCTTTCTGTTTTTTTCCCAATTTCTGACAATTACAGTTTAAATCTCCCAGTTTAAAAGTACGTGTTATAAAAGTCAGGGCTGCAGTGGGTCACAGGTGAGGTCTGGGTCTACATGCTGTTCATTCTGGGGTCGGTTGCCATGTTTGACTTTGTTTGGCTTTGAAGACAATGAAAAAAAAAGAAAATTTGCCATTAAAAAAAAATGTCTGTCAGCCTGTTTCGAGGGCAGTTTCCATGTTCCCTTCTCATTCACAGCATGTTCACACTAGTGTCCAACAGGCCGAGGACCAGCCCCCCCCCCCCCCCCCCCCCCCCCCCCCCCCCCACCCCCCCC